CCCAGGCCCAGAGTTCAGGCCCCACGACCGGATCCCCCCCACAAAAAAAAATAAAAAAATGCCAACAAAGCTAAAAGTAATCGATGTTTATAATCAGTATCTACTGGTTTACCTACCAATGAAACCAAAGCTCTGCTTTCCCATTCACTCTCTAGGTTCTGTAGATTCTGAGACAATTTCAACTCTGAGCCACGACTCGTTTCTCTGGATCTCTCTGTGGAACTGAGATTTTTGCCCCATAAGCGGTAAAATGGACACTTCATTCCCCTCATTCCCCAGGACCTGACTCATTCCCAGCACCTCCCTTTCTGCCCCCCACCCAGCCTCAGCTTGCACCAGACCCTCCCAGCAAACAAGGAAGACTGCCCGGCAACCAGAGACGTCACAGGATCATGTCCTGATTGGTTGCCTGCAGCAGGGAAAGACCAAGTTCCAGCCAGAGCCACTCAGGCCCAAGCCCGGATGATAGGGGGGGAAGGGCAGCCCAAGCTGGCGTGTGGTGACTCAGGCCTCCCCAGGGCAGGGTGGGGACCGAACCAACCCCAGATGGCTTCCCCTTTCCTGCCCCCCCCCCTCTGCTACAAAGTCCTGTTAACTCTTTCCTGCCCACCCCCGCCCCCTAGAATCCAGCGCTCCAACTTTCCCAGTCCCTTCAACCTCCAGTTAAGACTTGGCTGGCACCCAAGCACTGGCCTTTTCCAACAACCTGGCCACACTAGCTCTGTACCAAACCGCCAGGGCACTCGCAGGATGTGCAGATGAGTCACTCTTCCTGTAGGCTGAGGGGGACTAGAAGTGGGGATCCATGCCCCCCAAACCGACACGCCCAGTTCCTGAGGGCTGCCAGGCAAGCTGCTATCTTACCAATGGCCCTAACCCCTAAACCCCACCTTTTTCATTTGAGCCTCAGGCCTGCCCCTTAAATGTAATTGTTTGCACAACGTGGCCTCTCCTGCCCAAATCTTCCACTATTGGGAAGATTAGGTAGTGAAATTGCACAAGCAGAGGGGGTGTGGTGGGAAAATAGAACTTAAGAGGAGCCGGACAGGTTCTGAGGCCCCAGCGATACGCCAAGCGCCCATCCCCGGCCAGCTACCAGCTACAAATGCAAAATGCAGTTCCAATCCAGCTGAGGATGAGCCGCCAGGGAGCAGAGCTGGAGCAGAGCTGGAGCAAGTACCAGCCCATCCTCACACATAGGAGTTCCAAACCACAGCTCTCCCCTGCAGAGAGCTCCATCACAGAACCCCAACTGCCAGTCAGTTCCAGCCAGCCTACAGCTGTACCCCTTCCAAGCTCCCAGCCTGCTCCCTCCTCTAGGAAAAACAAGGCCACATATACCCATCAAACCAGTTCTTTTGGGGGAAGGTAGCAGGGGACACATTGTGCCTGGCCTTTAAGTCAGGACTGTGGCCCCATCTCCAGTGCTGTGATATACCAGCACAGTACATATATACCCTCTAATGCAAAAGCTCCATAAACACACCTGTCAAACACACCTCTGGTGTCATACAGACCTGGCCCCAAGGCCACAGGTTTGATCTCAAGGACCCACCCAAAAAATAAAGGGAGAAATCTACATCTATACTGAGCACTTCCCTCCCCCCCTTATCATTCCCTAAGCAATACAGCACAAGTATTTACATAACATTTACAGCATACTGGCTGTGTAAGTAATATGATCGAAAACACATAGGCAACATAAATACAGTTTTGCAAACACTACACTGTTTATGTAAGGAACATGAGCAGAAGGGATTTGGATATTTTAGAGGATTCCTGGAACCATTCCCCCCAGACAGGATAGGACAACTATAAATCTGAAGTCCCTCTGGCCAGATGCTGGTAGCTCACACCTACAATCCTAGCCAGTCTGGAGGCTGAGATCTGGAAATCTCAGTACAAAGCCAGCTGAGGAGACAAATCAGGGAGACTCTTAATCCCCAAGTAAAGAGCAAAAAGCAAGAATTGAAGTTGTATCTCTCAAGGGGTAGAGCACCAGCCATAGGCAAAAAAAGCAAGAGTGTGAGGCTCCCGAGTGAAAGTCCCAATATAGCACACACACAAAAACGTTCCTCTATACACTGAGTTACATGTTGACTCTTTCCATTTGTAGCAGGTATTTTCTGCCCTCACTGGGGAAACCTGGAATATGGCTCCTAAGAATTTGGTAGCAAATTAAGCTCCATGTCACCACACCCTGTTCCTCATCTTTCCACTGCAAGAGGCGGGGTAATACAGCAAAAATGAGGCCAGGCCTCCACTTCTGCTCTTCTGAAGACTTCTCTCCTGCTGTGGAGATGCTGCAGGCGCAGGGCCCTGCGCAGCTCATCTCTACCCTTTCAAGGAGCCACCACTCACAAAGGAGGCACGACAGGAAAGGTTCAATGTTCAGCTTCCTTTAATGACCCCTATCTCCCTGAAGGGCAGGTGCAGGCAGCTAGGCGATGGCAAGAGATGGTCACTTGAAGATCTTGCCCTGATTGAAGGCTTTGCCCACGTGCTGGAAGGCCCCCTCCCAGGAAAAGTACTCTCGAACCAAGGTCTGGGTCTCCTCACTTCCAGGATCCAGTTTCCGCCATGTATAGGATTCGTAGTCCACCTGCCAGTCTGGACTCAGCTGGGGAACAGAAGCCAGCAAAGAGGCATGTGGTCAGCTTTATCAGACACCCGTGCAGCCCCCCAAAACAATGGAGAACATGAATGGTTCTTCCCAGGCACCCCTGAATGCCTCCACATGGCTCACAGGCTCATCTCATTGTCCCATATTCTTGCCCTGACCCCAGAGACTCCTTCCCCCATCCCCCCTCACCGGAAAGGCAAGTTCCTGGCCTCTGAAAACCCAGACTCCAGAAATGGAGCTGCTATTATTGGTTCCAAAGAGGACGACACTGGCAAAGGCATTCTTCCTCAGCTTGTCCAATCGCTGGAACATTCCTGGAAGGGCAAAGGAGAACATTCAGCCTTCTGAATCACATTAGCCCATGGCATGCAGATCTCTGCCCTCTCCCCAGACCCATCCTCTCCTTCTTACCAGTGATGAGGTTGCAACTCATGAAGGTCTGGGAGAGCTCTTCGGGGAAGCGGTACTCAGCATACCACAGGGACCAGCCATCCTTATCAAAATGCTCCCAAAAATATGGCAGCGCCACAGACAGCGTGTCCTCGTTGGAGTACTTGCGCTTAAATTCATCCAACACAAACGTACTGAAAGGAAGACAAGAGAAGGAGGGGATAAGGACCAGTCTTATAGAGACAGCAAGGGATAGCCAAGCTAAGGGTGTTTTCACTCCAAATTCACTGGCAGATAACCTCACCAGTGAAGAGAGCAGGAGGGACATTACAGGCCAAGGCCACTCCTCTGCCCAAGTATGCTAAGCATGCGGGTAGGACTCACAGTGAGCAGTACCAGGAAGGGCATGGCTGACTTCTGCCCCCAGGTGGACACTCTGGGTAAGGAGTCCTTTCTTCACCTGGTCCAGTCTGCTCACAAGCCCCATTCAGTTACTGACTCACTAAAGTCTTCCCCACAATGCTGGCCTCTCAGGTTGAACAGGCAGAAGTAGGAATACAAAGGGCCTCGCCTCAAATCTCACACCCTGGTGTGTGAAAACAAGTTTCTATAAGGAACCTTTAGATTTGGGTTATCTTTGAGGCAATCCTACATCCTGAGCCAAGAAGGCAAGGATCAACGTAGGAGGGGTTAGTCACAACCCCATGGCTGAGGTTCTAGGTTTTTTTTCTTTTCAATTAACAAAGCATCTATAGGCAGTAATCCTAGTTATTAAGAAGACTAGATCTGAGGTTCCAGGGTGAGTGCTGGGCAAGAAAGTCCCTGAGAAGCCAGGCACTGAGGGCTCACACCTATAATCCTAGCTACTCAAAAGGCTGAGATCTGAGGATCACAGTTCAAAGCCAGCCTGGGTAGGAAAGACTGTGAGACCTATCTCCAATAAAAACCACTAGAAAATTGGAAATGGCGCTGTGACTTAAGCAGCAGAGCGCTCCCCTTGAGCTGAAGAGCTGAGGGACAGTGCCCAGGCCCAGAGTGCAAGCTTCATAATCAACCAAAACAAAAAAAAAAGGTTCAAGCTTCATGACCAACCAAAAAAAAAAAAAAGAGAAAGAGAGAGAGAGAAGAAAGCAAGCATTTATATAATGTCAGTAGACAAGAGCACACTAATATTTACATACTTTCCTCTGGTCTTCGATTTTTCAAAGATGTAAGGATGACCCATGCAGTTTTGGTCAACTGTGACAAAACTATTAAAAATTCTTGCTGGGTAGGGTGACACATGCCCCTGTAATCCCAGTACTCCAGGCTAAAACAGGAGGAACTCAGCAAGCCTAACCAGCAGCTACATATAAAAATACCAATGTAAGCCAGGCGCTGGTGGCTCACGCCTGTAATCCTAGCTACTCAGGAGGCTGAGATCTGAGGATCACGGTTCAAAGCCAGCCCGGGCAGGAAAGACCGTGAGACTC